GGAAATTCTGTCTTTTTTAAAGACAAAAATTTTTGAGGCGAAATACCCAAAAAGAAGTTTGTAAAAAAATGAATCCGCCTCAACAATATAGAACTTATTTCCAACCATTGACATAAATTGTCGCCAAGTCCCAAAGCTTTCATCTTGAATATCAAAACTTTGTGAGGTACTCTGTCGAACGCCTTCGAGAAGTCAGTATAAACTGCATCAATCTGCTCATGACTCCCCATGACATTCAACAAGTCCTCAGAATACACAGCCAAATTGGTCACAGTTGATTTTCCTCTACAAAAACCATGCTGTTCATCGATAATTAAATGTTCAAAGATAGGTGTAAACTTTGAAGTGATAATTTTATCAAACAGTTTTGGTATCAATGAAATCTTAGCTATAGGTCTATAATTTTTAATATTGGTTTTATCACCATTCTTGAACAAAGGTACCATCAGGTTAGGTTTCCACAGGTCGGGATAAATACATGTTTTTAAGGACAGATTCAGCAAGAAAGTCAACGGGCACTCAGGGAACATCTACATTAAAGGGTTTAAAATAGTTGAAGGTATACCATCTGCTCCTGCACTAATAAACTTTTTCAGTTTACACAGATTTTCATTGGACAACTACAAAAACTCCGGCTACATGTTTACAGCCCGTTTTCTCTTCGTTTAAGTTAATGCTTCAGTTTTCTATGCAAATATCTGAAATGATTGCTTGCTCTTCTATCTCGAAATCAAACTGCTGATGCCAAATGTAGTCCAGACAGAGTTCAATTTCGGCTTATTTCTCTCTCGATTCGTTTGCATTAAGGGGGATACATACACATAACGGGCCAAGTTAACATATAAAAGTCAATAAAATTTATGCGTTTGGTGGTTGTGGGTTCGGGGCCAATTCCATTTTGCCGGGTCTGGATCATATAAACGGAGCAATTATTGCCAGGCCGAAGCTGAGGGGAAATGCATGCGTGTTTTTGGGGAACGAATGGTTTAATTTATGCTATTAAAACGAATGTCGGAGTGTATATACGTGTAGTTCACAAATTTGGGAGCTTAAGCCTTGGACCATACCATCTAACTCACCGATACGACACAGCTAATTGAATTGCTTTGTAACTTATCTCTTTGCGTTCATTCAGTTTCAAGTGTTGTCTGTTAATTATATGCAAACAGCTGACATCAACATGCTAAGCCACTTAGCAGTGTCCCAAAACACACTAGAAAGAAATCAAAATATATTAGAGGTTTCAATCCAGAAAATGTCGGGTTTGTTTGCGTATAGGCGGCATGCCATACTTCTTTCGCATGATGGAGTGATAGTAAAAATGACAAAAAGTAACGGGTAGTTGCATATTTACGCAAATGGGCACTAAAAGTGAAATGGGTGCTCCTCTAGGGTTAACAGGACAAAGGCTTCTGACACGCTGCCATTCTTGCCTGTAAAAATTTACGGCCTTATTCGCCTTAACATCATTTCCGTAACAACAAGGGTACTTTTTCTAGCACGCCCCATTTTATTACGGTAGAATTGCCAAACTGTAAAACAGACTGCGATGTAAATCGACATCGGACATTCGGACAAGTGATGAACCATGGAAAATGATGAAAAACTGAAAACATTCTGCCGTTTGGGATAGCCAGATGTGAAGTGAAGCGCTTCAATTTTTCATGAAAGCCCATTAAAACGCTAATGACCCCCTGAAATCGGTCATTAAAAAGTTTAAATTAGACGACATTATTTGATATAGAAACCATTATTTTTAAAGACGAACAACCCGGAACTTCCATTAGTTGAAACGATACTTTAAAACGGCTTTCAAATAAATTTGGGAAATAAACTTAATCCGTCTTAACGGGGAACACGAAAGTCAATAATCGATAAAATCAGTGCTGAGCAGATTCACTCGGCTTTTTGCCGTTGGAAGACTCTATATGGAATTGGATTTTCCCCCTCAAGTCGCTGCGCTTTATAAAAGTTAAGGTTTAAACTTGCGGACTTTTTCCCGTATATTTTAATTTTAAATACCAAATGAAATGGAAATCTACAAGCTGGTCGGCTGAAAAAGTTGCAAAGTTTCGGTACATTTTTCGTGCCAAAATTGTATCCATCCCTTTTCACATTTTCAAAACGGCTCATGCATAAAGAGCCTGCCGGAGTAAAAAGGGTGGATGAAAAACTTTGCTATTTAATTAGAAACTTTATGTTGCACGGACGGTATTAAGCTGGAAATATGTTGTGAGCTTCAGCGGAGTATTCAGCAGTAAAATCATTCTCTCTAGATTACTAATCTAGAGGTTTAAGGTTCAAAATTCTTATAAATCACCCTTCATAGTAATGAAAATCAAAGAAACGTTCCGAATTCAATCAACCGTTTTCCAACGCGCCTGTACAGGTTCGACTAAACCCGTTCTAGAAGTCGGTAAAACTCCATTTCCTCAAAATAGCAATTGATTCCGATCTCCGAGCAGGAAACAGCAGGCATATTCGTTACATTCCCTAACAAATACTTTAGCCAGCTTGGGAAATCCACTTTGGCGTCGTATTAGAAAAGTTCCGAAAAGGCCTTTTAGGAGCTCTTTCTATTGTTCATAGCGATGTGATTTTCTTTTGTTGTTAAAAGCCATTCCGAGCGACATCGACTCGTGTAAAACGAAAAACAGAAAGTTTCCCGAATAAATATCCCCATTTGAGACTCGGAAGATTTGCTGAAAAGCTGTTTTAATTGAAAATTCCAAATGGATGGCTGTGCCGACTAACTATGGGTAGGATGATGCTGACCATTAAAGGTGACACATCCCTCCATTAGGACCACTCACAATGTTAATGCTACACTGGAAATTAAATATTATACCCCAGAGGGTTCGGATTACCCGCAAGTCTGCGTTTTTTCGCCTAATAGATCATTACGCCGGGAACAAAAAAGAGGGTGGCTTAACGAACAATTTCGGGCGGCACTTTTCGCTAGAAAAATCCGTTTCACGACAAAACGCAAATAGTAGGTGGCTGCAAAATGTATTTAGGCTTAATGAACAAGCCAAACATAGAGGAAACCTCTCAGGGGCGGATCCAGCTTTAAAGTCAGGGGGGGGGGATTATGTAGAAAAAATACAGTCTTCTGTTGTTTATGAAATTAGAAAAATGATCGTCGTTTTGTGCAAGGGTGGCGCAAGATTATTGCAAAATT